CCATCATTGGAGCTTTAGAAATTGCATTGATAGCATGTTTTGCAGGCTGTAAAGTTCTATCAAAGCAGCACAAACAGTTGTTTAAAGAAATATGGCAGTATTAGACGCAATCTCTCCCTCTCGGTGTATGTGTACACATAGGGGAATACACAAATGTCTGCAAAGGGGGTGGCATTCATTGCTCAAGAGAGGAGATGAAGACCAAACTAAAGAATAAGCATATGGAGATGAAACAGTCTGTGTGTTTTTATAAGGGGGGGGGAATGATTTCAGCGATATTAGTTGATTAAAAGGATTGCCTTCCAGAGTGAACAACAAAAATCATAGTAGATTTGGTTCTGTTTTTGCACTAAAAGTATAATAAAAAATAATGAGTCTGGATTCCACTACTAAGCAATGAAGTCTAATATCTGCCAATACCAAATGCATTACTTTAAAAGTTGTTTGGAAGAACCACACTTTGTGGCTTCTTCTCTGAGCCTCCATGAACATTGGGGACATAAATCCATGTTCTAGAAATGTCCAGTGTTCAGTTAAATCTGACAAATATTTCTGCTGCTCATGCTACAGTGTGTGAAGATTCCCAATACAACTCAGTATAGTGCAGTAGTTGCCAGTACAATTATTATTGTTGTTATTGTTATTAATTGAATTTATATTCTGCCCTATACTCGGAGGTCTCAGGGCAGTTCACAGAATAAATACAACACGTATCAACAAACAAAGTGCCTGGATCAGATGTGTTCCTTTCTCAATTTAGAATTTAGAGCAGCCTTCCCAAACCTTCTACCCTTTCACATGTTTTGGACTGCTACTCCCATCATTCCCTGGTAACATAACCAAACATTTAAAGCACTATGACACCACTTTAAATGATCATGGCTTCCCCAAAGTATCTTGGGAGCTGTGGTTTGTTAAGGGTTCTGAGAGCTGTTAGGAAACCCCTGTTCCTCTCACAGAGCTACAATTCCCAGAGTACTTTAACAATCCCACTTCTAGGTGAATTTTGAAGGCACATGAAGCAACTGTCTTGGTGAAGCTAGGCTGATCGGGGTATGGTGAATGCATGAATGAGAACTACATATATTCTACCTTAGGTACACCTCACTTTTCATCCGAAGATCTCAAGATTAGTGCATACACATATATCTTTCCTCCCAATAATAAAATAATAATTTATGTTCCCTCTGTGAGGGAACATTCCCAGATCCGCTGAAAGAGGCAGTCATTAAACCGCTTCTTAAAAAACCATCTTTAGACCCGGCCAGTATGGCCAACTATCTGCCCAGTCTCAAATCTTCCATTCTTGGGCAAGGTGATTGAGCGCGTGGTTGCTGAACAACTCCAGGCACGCCTGGAGGATGCGGACCATTTGGATCCCTTGCAATCGGGATTCAGGCCTCACCATGGGACTGAAACTGCCTTGGTCGCGCTGGTTGATGATCTCCGGCGAGCTAGGGACAAAGGTGAGAGTTGTTTCCTGGTTCTGCTGGATCTCTCAGCGGCCTTTGATACAATCGACCATAACATCCTTCTGGACCGTCTATAGGGGCTGGGAGCTGGGGGCACTGTTATACAGTGGTTTCGCTCCTTCCTCCTTGGCCGTGTTCAGAAAGGGGGGGGGATGAGTGTTCAGACCCCTGGGCCCTCACTTGTGGGGTGCCTCAGGGTTCCGTCCTCTCCCCCATGCTTTTTAACATCTATATGAAGCCGCTGGGAGAGATCATCAGGGGGTTTGGACTGGGTGTCCATCAATATGCAGATGATACCCAGCTCTACCTCTCTTTCAAATCAGAACCAGTGAAGGCGGTGAAGGTCCTGTGTGAGTGCCTGGAGGCGGTTGGAGGATGGATGGCGGCTAATGGATTGAAGTTGAATCCTGACAAGACAGAAGTATTGTTTTTGGGGGACAGGGGGCAGGCTGGTGTGGAGGACTCCCTGGTCCTGAATAGGGTAACTGTGCCCCTGAAGGACCAGGTGCGCAGCCTGGGAGTCATTTTGGACTCACAGCTGTCCATGGAGGTGCAGGTCAATTCTGTATCCAGGGCAGCTGTCTACCAACTCCACCTGGTACGCAGGCTGAGACCCTACCTGCCCGCGGACTGTCTCGCCAGAGTGGTGCATGCTCTAGTTATCTCCCGCTTGGACTACTGCAATGCGCTCTACGTGGGGCTACCTTTGAAGGTGACTCGGAAACTACAACTAATCCAGAATGCGGCAGCTAGACTGGTGATTGGGGGCGGTCGCCGAGACCACATAACACCGGTCTTGAAACACCTACATTGGCTCCCAGTACGTTTCCGAGCACAATTCAAAGTGCTGGTGTTGACCTTTAAAGCCCTAAACGGCCTCGGCCCAGTATACCTGAAGAAGCGTCTCCACCCCCATCGTTCTGCCCGGATGCTGAGGTCCAGCGCTGAGGGCCTTCTGGTGGTTCCCTCATTGCGAGAAGCAAAGCTACAGGGAACCAGGCAGAGGGCCTTCTCAGTAGTGGCGCCCGCCCTGTGGAACGTCCTCCTATCAGATGTCAAAGCCATAAATAACTACCTGACATTTAGAAGACATCTTAAGGCAGCCCTGTTCAGGGACGTTTTTAATCTGTGATATTTTACTGTATTTTTGGTTTCTATGGAAGCCGCCCAGAGTGGCTTGGGAAACCCAGCCAGATGGGCGGGGTACAAATAATAAATTCTTCTTCTTCTTCTTCTTCTTATTATTATTATTATTATTATTTACCACTCGCATGCCAAAATGGTTTCTAAGCAGTTTAAAATCAGTTATAACATCAAAAAAATCCACACATAATTAAAATACATAATAAAACCATTCCATGGACGCGTTAAAAACTTCAAAGATTAAAATATACAATAAAACAAGCCATCTGAAAAGCTTAACAAGTAAAGCAGCAATTTAAATCATTAGATCAGGAAGTTTAGGTTCAGAGGCATGCTTCCCTGGACAGGTGTGTCTTCACAAGCAGCTTGTTAGGTAGGTTAGATTGGAGTGATCCCAAGGCCATCCAAAATGGGAATCTGGATCTTAGTCTCCCGGGTTCTGTCTTTCAATATGCTGCTGATTTGGAAGATGAGCCATGCCTTCACTTCTCCCCTCTCAGCCCTGCCTTCACAACTTTAATCTCAGTCTACCTGTATGCACACATATACACTCTCTGCCTGCCAGGTGACCATACCTGATGAACAAGAGGACAGAGTTCCTATACCTTTAACAGTCATGTAGAATACCAGCAGGTATAGTCAGCTGCTACTTCCCCCTAGTTTGTGGTTGGTGATTGGAAACAAGAGGAGCTGCCTACGATAGAAGATTGGAGAATCAAAATGATGGACTATGCGGAATTGGACAGAATGACAGGAAGGATTCGGAATCGACAAGATCAAAGATTTACAGAAGATTGGGAGAAGTTTCTTCAATATTTGCAAGAACTAAGTGATAACCAGATTACGTTTGTAAGTTTTAATGAAGCTCTGTGATGTGAAAATCTAATAATAAGTATAAACAATGAAATTGAAGCTACCAGAATAAATAACAATAAGTAGGATTGTGTTAAAAGTTACAAAATGAAGGAAGTTCAGACAAATTGAGGGAAGTCAAAAAAATGGAATTAAGAGGTAATTAAGAAGTTTGAATGTACAAATTTGTTTTCTTTTTTTGTATTTGTAAACCAATAAAAATATAATTTTTTTTAAAAAAAGGAAATAAATTGCTCTGGGAAAAAAAATATATAGTTTGTGGTTGGTGACATCTTGACTTCGCAAGGACAAGCCGCAGGAGAATTGCTCTTAGTACATATAATCTCCTTCCAATGAGCCTGTTATTGACAGCATTTACCACAAACAAATCTCATTTAATTCAATTAACAAGAAATACCACAAATTCCAACAATAAAAAGCCTCTTTCCCCCACATCCCTTCATTTCTGAAAGGTCACATAAGTTTCTCATTAAGGCATCTTTCACAGCAAAACCAAGAACTTTAATAATAAAAAAGAAGTCTGTTATCTTTTTACTGTTGTATCTCTCCTTTTACAACATACACAGTCACTCACTTAAAGCAGCAAATCACTCTAATTGCTTCTGCTGCCATTGAAGGGTAGTCCCCCCCGCCCCGCTCTCCTCAAAGCTGATTCCAGCATTTTTTGATGGTGCACTGTATAAGATTTTATTGACCAACAAAGAAACATCATGAAATACATTTCCATCTCCCTAATATTGATTTAAGTCAAGCCCGGTAATCATATAAAAGCAAAGTTTTTATAGCCTGCCAGAACAAGAAACTGAAATGCCGAGCTGAAAACAATTGTTTTGGAGAGAAGCAAACTTCTTCTTGTCCAAATGGCAAGTCAAACTCAAAGAAGAATGTTTGCAAACTTTTGATAGCACAAGCCTCTGCTTTTATATTTTTTCAAATCAAATTGCAAGCACGCGGCACACTTAACGCTGGAAAAGGTTGGATGGAGAGCAAAAATATAGTCTGAAGGGAAGGTGCATGAAACCACTTCCTTCCTGAAGCTAAGCAGGTCCAGGTCTGGTCAGTAACTGGATGGGAGACCACCTGAGAGTACCATTGGGTTTCAGGATAGAAGAAAGGTAGTATGTCAATAATTTATCAATCCCATGCAGAGAGGCAATGGGTGGAGATTCCACTTAGCTATCAATGCTAATAGATGTTGATAGACATACCCTGTCTAACCCTTGTTTCAGGGCAGGCAACAAGATGGGCTTCTTTATGCATCTGCCAAGAGCCACACCTAACAGGCCAGGCCCTTGATAAGTGCCAGAGCTCTATGAAACTGCTATTTCCCTTTCCTATTGCTGTTTGTTCCACCCTAGTCAGTGGTGGCAGAGGCCAAGAGTAGTAGATGCTGCAATATAGAACACAGGGACTTTTTTGAGTCACACCATTGATCCATCTAGGTCAGTATGGTCTGCCCTGACTAGCAAAGGTTCTCTAGGGCTTCTCACAGGGTTCTTTTCCAGTCCTACCTGGAGATGCTGGGGATGGAACCTGAGACCTTTTGGGTGCAAAGCAGGTGCTCTACCACTGAGCTACAGCCTTTCCCCAAGCCAAGGCTTTGTTCTCGTAGAATGGGACCAGAGGGGGAGGCTGAGCAGCAAGGAGGGCATTTTGCCTGAGCCATCTAAGTGAATAGGGCTAGCATGCCTGCCAAACACTTATTTTTTCTTTTTCCTTTATATTGCCCAACACATAAGGAGAGCCTTTAGCAGCAACCAGAAATGTCTCATACGTTGCTGGCACTTTTCCAGCTGAAGGTTGACTTAACCCCTATATCTGAATTAATGAAAATATTCTCTGCATTGTTTCTGACACTAGAGATTAATATAATTCCATCCAAAGGCCTCTTTATCTGCTAAACCTTTTCATTATAACTTTGAATAGAAGTTCTCGTTCTTCATCCGCTCCTCTTCTTTTGGTCTTGTCTTGATTTGTTTTTATTATTATTATTCATTTCTTGAAAAGAGATTTTTATGGGAACAACTTGTATGCAGCCTATATTTCGACATTATATAATGAATTCTGAAATTGTCCTTTCCCATACAAACATGTCTGTCTGACTTCATCCCTACAGCATTAGAGTGTAGCTATGAAATGTTATCTATCTTTTGCACCGTCTTTGTTGCAGTCTGTATTTGACACCCATTGATGTTTGATTTTCATGTTTCACACTTGACGGTATGTTATGGTCGACATGCAATGATATTTGGTATTGTCTGTAAGGAAAGTGGGTGTGTGGTGGTGTATCATAGTGGTTGTCAGTTTTTCAGCCTTCAGAGAACGCTTTCCATCCTGGTGGGTTTGTCAAGGAACACCTGTGCATTGCAGAAGATCCTAGGGCATCTTCTTAGATGCACACTTCATTCACTCTTGGTCCTCACAATTAGCCACTGTGAACTGAAAGTGCCGCATTCCCCCAAGGCTGAACATTGCAGAGACATATTTTATCTAGCAAAGGTAGCATCCAATGATGATTAATATTTGGCAGATGACAGCTTATAAGATTTCAATATTTGCAGCCTGCCAAGCAAGCAAGAGAAGCGAACAAGGGTCTGGTTGTAAGGTTTTCAAAAAACTCACATACAAAATGCTGGTTTTAATTTTGAATGTAACATTGCTCATTCAAATGGAATATTCGTTTCAGTTCTAATTTCAAGCACTGTCTGGATACCCTGAAGGTAGAGATGGGTGGATCTATCCTTTCAGTTTGCCTGGCTTTCCAATTTTAACTTCAGTTTGCCCCATTTGTGCATCAATTTACAATTAAATAATAATAATCACAAAAACTTTTAAATGTGGGTTTCTCCTGAGCAGTTTTGTACATATTTTGGTTGCTTTAGGCACCATTGACTATGGTGTCCTTCTCAAATGACTCAATGGGGTGGGTGTTGCAGTTAATGCACTAGGAGTGGTTCCACTCCTTTCTGCAAAGTTGCTACCTGGAGACTGTATTAGGAGACTGTTGCCTGGATCCATAGCCAAGGACTTACTCGGTCTCCTGTGCTATTCAGTGTCTATATGAAACCATGGGAGCCAGTCAGCCAGGGCTTTGGAGCCCAGTGTCATCAGTATGCCGATAACACACAGCTCTGTCTCTCCATTCCATTTGATTCAGGAGAGGCTGTGAAGGCACTGGACCAGTGCCTGGAAGCAGTAATGGACTGGATGAGGGCCAATAAACTGAAGCTGAATCTTGATAAGATGGAGGTGCCAGGGGTGGCCAGTTCTCATGTCTGGAAATTAGGATAATGACCTGCTCTGGGAGACATTGCATTTCCCATGAAGAAAAAGCTGGTTGTCTTAAGAGTACTCCATGATACAAATCTATCATTGGATCCCCAAGCGACTTCTGTGGCTGTGAGTTCTTCTGCCCAGCTTAGGCCTCTGCAGTCCACTCTAGTGACCTCCTATCTGGGCTTCATGAGCTGCCCTTGAAGATAGTCTGAAATATGTAGCAAGTGCCACCCTGAGGTCCTCTGGGGAGAAAAGCGGAATAGACATTGCTAAATAAATGGTGCAGAATTTGGCTGCAAGGTTGGTGAGTAGGGCCGTCAAATGGGACCACGTTTCACCAGTGCTGAAAGCACTGAACTGGTTGCCAGTGAACTGCCACCCCTAATTCAAGGTGTCAGCGCTAGCATACAAAGTCCTAAATGGCTTCAGACCAAAGTGATTAAAGGATTACCACACCCAGTATCACCCATTTCAGGTGCTTAGCAGGGGAGACCCTGTTCATCAGGAGTGGCAAACTGGATCTGGCAAGCAGGCTGTCCTATGTCCCATGAGCCAAGTTTGACTGGTGGGCGGAGCCAATGAAGTATCAATCACCTGACATCACAATGACTTCAGATGACTCACTTTTAACTAAGCGGTTTGAAATCAAACCATATTGGCACAACACCCACATGACAAATGATCAGCTGAAGGTAAAAAAAACAAAAACAAACTCAACTCTAAATAATATACACATAGTTTCAAGCAATAATATACACATAGTTTCAAGCAATAATATACACGTTTTTGCCAGCATTTTTGCCAGCACTAACTTTTTTAAAATTTGTTTTTTGGTCAACACTTTCCCCTGATATAAGCGTTTTACTACACATACTTGTTGGAGAAGTCCATCACAGAATTCGGAGAAGTGCAAATTTCAAAGGCTATCTATAGTTTCGTTTGTTTATTGGTTCGGGAATTTCGAATTAAGTAGGTTCGCATTCAAATGCAGATTGAATACTTTTATCCCTTAGCCCATCTTAAAGTAACCATTGACAAGTCCTGGATCCAAATGAATTTTAATCTTCAAGGCCTCTTGAATCTTCCCAGGCAAATAGAATCATAGAATCATAGAGTTGGAAGAGACCACAAGGGCCATCGAGTCCAACCCCCTGCCAAGCAGGAAACACCATCAGAGCACTCCTGACATATGGTTGTCAAGCCTCTGCTTAAAGACCTCCAAAGAAGGAGACTCCACCACACTCCTTGGCAGCAAATTCCACTGTCGAACAGCTCTTACTTAAGATGTTTCCCCAATACCATCACCACTATTATAATCTCAGATTAATAGCTTTCAGCAGCTTCATTTATTTACTGGCACAGAATATCAATGAGAATCCATAGTGTAGGGGATAGAAGCCTGCTTTAGTGCTCCTGCTTCCACTGAGTTGTGCGGAATACACTGTGGGAAGATCTCGCATTGAACTTTCTGTCACTCTTGCAAGGGAAGGCACAAAAGAAAATGTCTTGCATGTTAATCATTTTTGAAGCCTTGTAATTGTTTTCTGATGAAAGCTGGAGCTGGTGTGATAGTTCTCCAAAGACAGTAAATGACTTTTTCCTATTGTCTTCTTCACAGGCGTGAAGCACAGAGAAAAGAGCACTGAATTTCCCATAAGAGCACTAAAGGTGAAATTTATACTTGCAGAGTCCTGTGTATCACTTAAATGACACTTAAAGCACATATTAAAGGATAAATCTTGCCTTCACCTCCTCCCAACAGCAGTCAGGAATCTCGGGCTGTAGAGCTAATGGGTTTCAGCTGCACCAGCACGAGGAGTCTGGGGAGACATTGTTGGCATTGACAAAACTCTGTGAAACTACACTATAGGTGGACATAATATCAGTGGCGGCTGGTGCCCACTGGAACTTACAGGGTAAAAATCAGAGAGGCCAACAGTAAATAAAGCCAGAGTCAACTAATCCTAGTTTTGTCCCCATCCACCTCCCTGTTGTTCAACAGGGAGGCAAAGCTGTATCTAAGCAGGAGGAAGGCAATAGACAAGCAGGAACACTCCATGGACTGGTTGTAAGTAAGAAGGCAGGCAGGTGGGAACCAGCTGAGGACAGACCCCCATATGCCCTGACGGGCTATCCTCTACTGCATATATTACAGACCTTGGAAGGGAATGGAAGATTTGTTTGAAAATGTAATGTCCAAGTCTACAGGGCTCTGTAATATATGCAGTGGAGGCTGGTCCATTAGGGGGTCTGTTCCTGCTAGGTTTAAAGATGTTACAGAGACTCATTTCCTAGCTCTGTTGCCATTGCACAGGTGGTGGTGGTGAAGAGGAGACCTCCATTCCTTCTTTCCTTCTTCCTTCCTGTTTGCTTCCACCAGAGCAAGCAGAGCAAGTAAATGAGTAGGAGAGAAGGATAAGTGGATCTGGAGGGTCATTAGTGGGTAGGAGTTAAGGTGTATGTGCAAGATGGATGGAAGAGGGGTCAGAGGCTAACAGGTCGAGATGATTCCTCTATTAAGTGCTGAGCCAAACGTTCTACAATGAGAACTGAAAATAGGGAGTACTTTGGAAGGTGAAAGGTACTGGCGGAGGAAGAGGAGTGTGGGGGGAGCACACCGCCCCCGGCAGCGCGATCCCCAGGGTGCCATCGTGGCTGCCCCCCACCCTCGCTGGACGCCACACCCCCGCAGGTGATGCCAAACCCCCAGGACGTGCGCCACGGCCCTGGGACACACACCAGTCCGCCCCTGCCTGCTCTCCACCCCCGGTGCCGGAACATGAAGCTCCACCATTGGTGAAAGGGATGAGACTAAAGTGTGCTACCTTTTCCCTGTCTGTTCCATTTTCACCACCTGTTCAATGTAGCAGTGTTTTTGTTGTTGTTTATGTTTAGGACCCAGAATGCCCCATGAAAAGCACTGTGGCATCCATGTTGCATCATTCCTGGGTGGAATTAGCTGAATTTAAAAGTGGGAAAATGAGAAATTGACAAATTCACCCATCGCTAAATTTGGTGGTTCACAAAGGGCCAACAAGGCAAACCAATACAGTGGCATTGGAACAAGGTCTCCTAAATGCAAATAGGAACATTCCTGTGGAGAGAGAGAAATAGGAACATGCCTGGGTATACAGTGTGACAGAGCCGTAATCCTGTTTTGATACTCTCAGTACATTCAGCAATATGGTTTTATTCTGGTCCTATTTTTATAGCATTTTCTAGAATAAGCACCATTAATGCAGCTCTGGTTCAGAAGTAATATACAGGCAATATTCCCAGACTGTAGAAAGAAAATGAAATTTGGGCTCATTATTACTATTATTAGTTTATTTTATTATTATTCCCTACGAAGGAAGTGTAATCAGATGAGATGGCACATTCACCATCCAAAGCAAAAGCATTTTGATCTACCCAGGCAATGTATTTGATAGCAATGGCAGGACAAAAAAGAAACAATGACATTGGGTATGTGTGTGGATGTGTTGCGGTACAGAAGAACTAAGAGGTTAACTGACTGAAGCTCAAAAGGCTGCTATAAATACAGAGAGCTATACTGCCAGGTTCCGAAGGGAACCTTATTTAATGTCTGATGGAAAGAGTGAATTCTGTGAGTTGTCAGAGGAGATGAAATGGGAAAAAGTGAAAGTCAAGATCCCTTTTATGACAAGCAGGTGGAAAGGGCTGGGGAGTTGGACATATGAATTTCTCAGGTGTCTATTGAGGTTTTGTTGTCATTTTTTGGTCCGAGCACAAAGTACATTTCTTCCTTCACCACAGAGTGATCACACAACCGGCTCCCACCCACCTGAGACTGAAAGAAGAGGGACAGATTTCAGAAACGAAAAAGGAGGTTTCCTGACACTCCTGAGATTTAGCAACTTGCACTTGTATAAATTTAAAACTGGCTTTGGCCCTTATCTTGCCCCTCTCTCACAAACTTGAGTTGAGCACCCCTTCCTTCCCTTCCCATCTCTCCACCCCTCCTCAGCTGGTGTCGTTTGTGGGAAATCCAGGAGGGTTTCAACCAGTTTGCCCTTTTTTGGCAAAAACACCCCTCATATTTATAGGGAAGGTGGCTCTTCCAGCAACCAGCGTAAAAATTATTCAGAAGAGTACCAAGATAGAAAAGACTTTGTTGCCGATAAGCTAAGCAACTGAGGGTTTCAAGTGTGAACTTTAAGCCTGTCTTGCAAGATGAAAAGATTAGAAGCTTCCGTTTCGTAGTCCCTTACTCCTCCCTGGCTGCCCTGGATCAACAGTCGGTGACACGATAGGAAAATGCACTGCACCCCGACAATGAACGCAGGATCAGCCACTTCCGCAGCTCTGCTCAGCAGCCACTCAGCCAGAATCAGCTAATACCTTAGATAAGGATTGTGTCTGGAGCAACAGCAACATAGGGAACAGTCAAGGACTCTCTTTTGCGCTCTCCTCTCTCTTTCTCATAACTATTGTGCTACATGATGGAGCTGTCCCCCACAACACACAATATATCCTCATTTCCCTTCAGATTTGAGCAGCTCAAGATTTAAGGGAAATGGAGCAAATACAAAACCAGTCTTAGAGAAAATGCTTGATAACTGTTCAAAATCAGGTTTTTCCCAAGGAAGCAATTTACCCAGGAAGGTGGTGAGAAATTCACAACTGCTCTGGACAGTCAGAACAGCTCGCCCAAAGCAGTAGTCAATCATTCCAGAAGATTTACGAACTGGAGCCCTGCACAGTGTGCACCAATTTCCAAACGACTTTGGTTTGTCCTAAAAATGAAACCATTTCCCTCCCATAGATGACACATTTTGGCAGTACTGTTGGGGTTCACGAGGGTCCAAATGAAGACAATGGGACAGGAGCACATGATGCAACACTTTGTGGATCCTTCTTCAGATGACTGAGGACAATAAACACATAATCCGAATGACCTGGACATTAACCAGGTGATCCTTGTTGATCTCCATAGGTTTCACATCAAATATCCAAGTTGACCAAGGAAATGCTCTAGCAACCTGATGTTGTGCCATGACTGCTATGGAAATGATCAGGTCCAGGATGGGAGACCATGAAATCTGCTCTGAGCTTGCAAAAAACAAAGTACATTAAGTAAAGGTGCTCATAGAACTACTTCCCCATCACGACACAGTGAAAACGTTGTGGAGAATGGACTTCAGGGATGGACCGACAATGAGAGCCACTTATGTATTTCGTGTTACGCAAGGAAGCCCAATGATAATGGAGCAGCTAGGGGGGAGGTAGGAAACCTGTCGCCCCCATGTACTCTTAATGGGAGCCTAAGTAGAACACACATTGTTCAGTACAAAAGCAAATTGTGGAACGTGTCTATGGGGGCACATATTTCTCATTAGTACTACTAATCCTGAAATTATTTCCTTTGTGAGGCATCAAAAAAGAGGTTTTTCCCCCTCTCTAAATTCTGTGCTTCTGTTAATCAGAACATCTACCACCAGCTGTGAAATTAGCCTCACTGTCTGAAATATGGGTGGCACATTCCCTCCAGCATTTGAAACCACAGGGAAGGACATTGTTTTGCAGCTGAAATTCAGCAGTCATTTATAAGAGCAGCAACTTAATGCAATTAATGCAAATCATTTAAAGCATGTTTTAAAAGAGTATTAAGAGCATATGGTGATTAATATGTGCTAATTAAAGACAACCTAATTATTTCCACATGCAAATAGAGGCTTATTTGAACATGCAAATGCAGAAAATGAAACACCATCTCCCACATATAAACTTCAAGTGCCTATTTCGGGCCTGCTCCTTGAGGTTAAAAGAAATTAAGCTGTTTAAAATTAAAGAGATTTCTATTTAATCTTAATTTTAATTGCTGGAGCTATAAATTAGCAAAGAAATTGGCCACACTAATAATAAAGGAAGCACTTGATGTGGAGACATATTTATAGTACAATTAGTAAACACCAAAACCCATTGTTGCAGAAAGCCAATCAGGGATTCTGCCTTAGGTCTACAGCATAATTTCATAGAAAGTTAATTCCACACCCATTCATGCCAGTTAAACTTTGGAACAACTCCAGATGTACCCAAACAAAGCATCAAGGGTTTTTTTCCCCGCATTAATGGACTTCATCTCTAAAATGTCTGTAAACAAAACAAACAAAACTAAACAAAACCCTCATGAATTTAATCCATCCCCAGTCACTATAATAACAATTACGATCCTCCACTAAAGACTTAAAGTATGCAACTGGATCTCTCTTCTGCCTTGCTCCTTGATCCCACCTTCTAGTTTCTTCCTAAGTCTGGGTGACTTCCTGGCTCTCTGCTACCCACTTCTCCTAGGTCAGCCTCTGCCCCTGCTAGCTCTTCCACTCATCCTTGGGACCCTGCCAGTCCCTGACATTTGCTATTGGATTCATAGCTTGTCCCTCAGCTCTGCTTCACATCAGACTGCTGATCATGGCCCAGCCCTGACACATAGAATTCATAGAATCATAGAGTTGGAAGGGACCTTGAGGATCATCTAACTCCCTTCAATGCAGGAATATGAAGTTGCCCCATATGGGGATTGAACCTGCGACCTTGGCATTATCAGCACCACGCTCTAACCCACTGAGCTATTTGACCACATCTTCACTAAAGAGCAATTGGAACTTACTTTGACCAGTTGTGACCAAGGAGAGCAACACCCGCTATCATATGTCTGCTAGCTGGTTCAGCCTCTGTTTTTGAAATTCTCAAGCAAGAGGGGAAATGACAGAGATATATACAAGTTTTGCATGGTGTTGGGAAAGTAGCTACAGAAGTGTTTTCCTGCTGCTCTCAAGGCCATCCAACGAAGCTGAAACCTGGAAGATTCCAAACAGACAAAGAAAAGTACCGGTACTTTATTTGCACATAGTGAGCCAGGGATGGCCGCCAACTTGGATGGCTTTAAAAGAGAATTAGACAAATTTGTGAAGAATAAAGGTATCACTGGCTATTAGCCACAATGGCTATGTTCTACTTCCACTGTCAGAGGCTTCTATAGAACCATCTCTGTCTTTTCTTTCAGTGTGTCCCTTTTGTTCCAGAGGGGAAGTCTGGTTCCCCCCTTTTCTTATGTGTGATTGTTTGATGTGATACGTTAAACTGATCTGTATTTTTATATGTATTTCGTATTCCTATACATATATGAATTGTGGGGGACGATGGCTTTGAGCAATAAAGATAAAGATTCAGATTGGTTAATTTCCATCCAAAGAATTCAAAGCAACAAACCTCCCCTTTCAGCTGTATTTATGTAAAATAGTTAAACTTATTAACTCACAAGGGCATTAGAAGAAATAATTACTCAGCAGAGTTTTGAAAGCGTGTTTACTGGGAAAGTGTATGTATTAGAGAATATTAAATGTTTGCCATCACTAGATAACCTTACATTGCCCGCAGGGAAATATTTCACGGGGAATTAGTTTCACTTACTTTCCCACGCTTAGATTATCTCATTTCCTCACCAAATGGCCATAACTTTCCAAATCATTTGTAAGAGAATATTGACTATGTCTGACTAACGTACAGTCCCTGGACTTCACTGGCTTTTCACTAAGATGCGGAGGGGTAGACTAAAGGAGCCTCTTATCCCTTCCAGCTCTACAATTCTATGAGTCTATGGTTCTATATATATATTTTTAAAAATATTAACCACACTTCAGCAAAAGGTTCCAGGGCAAGGTTCAAAAATATGAATAATAATACTTCACACAACATATACATACCTAGCCAACAAATCAATCTAGCCAAAGACCAGAAGATAAAATAAAAAGCCCAGAACCTAAATATATATATCAAACAAAATTTCTAAAAATTAACTACAAGCTAAGATTAAAATCCCTGAGTATGATGGTCTTCAACTGGCACCAAAATGTTTGTAACATCAGCATGAGGCATGGCTCTTTAAGGAACGTATTCCAAAGCTGAGACACTACCACAGAAAAGGCCCTCTTCTACAGAATTTCCTTCCATAATGCAACAACAACAATTTATACCCTGCCCATCTGGCTGGGTTTCCCCAGCCACTACAGCTAGCCTGGCAAGGTTTTTGTATTAACATCTGCTTATCTTTTCTTTAAGCCATGCTTCCTCTACTGTCAATCCACCATTTTGTTATCAGTCGTCCATTTTGTATTGCCTAGCCATTAAAACCAATGCATATAGAGCAAAACTTACGTAAGCCAGCCGGTTGTAGCCAGTTACAGGTAGCAATGAAAGCTAGATGAACATCCAATTTCCAATATATTTTCAATGTTTGACGTGTGTGGTTTTTTTAAAAAAACAACAACCTGAGGCTAACTTTGGGCCAGTACCGATGACAAACTTACCACAACAAAGCTCACTGGAAGCTGAGGTGGGTGGCATTCACATGATGCCAAAGAAGAGGTAATGCTTCACCAAAGAAAGAGGACAAAACACACTGCACAGATTAGCCTAAATTTTGCAGTTGCTAATTTACAGGTATACAAATGCAGATTTAGGAAATAAATAATATAATTTAAATGGAAATACAATGTAGAAGACTGTGGCCAAGTGACCTGTGTGCCTGTTAGTCAACTGCCCAGTCGCTTACTGTTGATGGGCATCTTCAAGGCCTCAAGTCTCTCTTTTGAAGATTCTTTGTCTCTAAAATCAGGCTGGGACTGGGCTGCCCTTCAGAGAGAATACTACTCCTTCAAATAGAGGTCTGCTATCTATGCAGAGATGCCATCTTCCATAGAACATCAAGGGGGCCCAACACAATGTCTTGACATTAAGTACACGGCGTTGTGTGATGTCCTGACGTCACTCCACATTTGGTCTCAACATTGGGGAGGGTCTCAGACCTAAAAAAAAAAAAAGAAAAAAGAAAAAAGATTGAGGGGGCCCAAAGAGCCTCACCCCCTGGAGCCACAACCTATGCAACTATGTTAATCACCCTCCTCATTATCAGCAACTGA